ATAAAAACGGGACACCTAAAAAGATATCACCGTATCCAACCGGAAGCAATGGTTGGAATATGAATATTGTAAATAGAATTATAGAAGTACTCAGATAATTTTAATTTTCTTTCTATGGGCATATTGCGGTTTAGATATTTTAAAAAGTTATTTTATTTTATTTTCACGTCCAAAGGTAATAAATCCTACATATGGGAACGAGTTAGTACTTCAAAGTTTTATGGTTGACGTGATAAGAATGTTATGAAAGAATGCGTTCTTTTGTTATGAAAGAATGCGTTGTTTTGGTGTAATGAATATTGTGGTATATTTGGTTCAGTGATTGTGGCTAGCTTTAAGTATAATTGTAAGACAGAAGAAAACTAACTTTCGCTATCAACACTTTTGGTCTTGTAACACTTTTTTTTACAATTTTTACGAAAAGTAAATATTGTTGACCGTTTCCTTTCAAGTCTCGTTTCGGAAATAATTTGAAATATTCAGACCGGTGAATTTCGTAAAGAAGGTTTTCAATTGAATCCTTTGGATTAGACATACAAAGAACTTTTTGCAACATAAATAAATTTTGTTAAATTGTTTACTTTTATTGTTACTTTATTCTGAATCGAATTTAGTTTTTAGTCTGAATCGAATTTTTGAACTTTCTCTTTTGCATTGTTTTATCTGTTTTCTCTTCGGCCGCCATTCTTTTTTTTTTTTTTACATTTTTCTGGTCTGATATAAAAGTGTTGCTAGGCTACTGCTTTATTTATTCTGTTTTTTATTTTGTTTAATTTACAGTTTAATTTTATTTTTTTTTTACTTATTACCCTGTTTATTTGAAGGAACATTTTAAATAACTTTTTGAACCGAAATCGTTTTTGTTAATTGTTAATCAGCTTTATATCGACAATTATTTTAATTTATTTTGTTGTATATCTCTGGGATAAATTAAAACCCAAATTTATAGTCGTCGATTCAATGAAGTTAGATTTGCAGCGCACAAAGTATGTGAGAAAATATTTGTGCGGGCGATTAATCTTGTAATAATAGGTATGTACCAGTAGCTAGGGCTGAGTATGCCTTCTTGCTTATCTAGAAGGATCGAGCAAAGCTAGTTCGGGCCAGGTAAAAAGAATTTCTCTTGAGGCGACAAATTGCGTGCATAGTAAGAAATGCATCCAATTGACATATCGCGTGTTTTACAATGCTGTATAGGTTACCGTGACAACAAAGGCGGACATGTATGAGGCTTTTTTAAATATTTTCAGAATCCGATAAGTTTGGCGCACATTTGAAGCGACTGGTTGTGTAATGATGGCATTTGTTCTTGATTTGTCAAGCACCCTCGATGATCTTATGTGGGAGATATTTTTTTAATAATTTTACATCAAATTAGACGATAATACCAAAAGGTAAATAGTATCTTTTTCACCAAAAGAATAAAAAAAAAAAACTGACCAGCGATATGATCATGAAAAGTGGTACTACCTAATATCCATGAAAATATATATTATTTAACTCGAACAATACGGTATCAGAACACATGTGGGGAAACAAGCTATTTCCTTCATTATTTTTGATTAGATTTGCTTGCTTGCCATAAAATCCACGCCCTTTCCCTTGAGAGAAATATCGACAGTTGATGCTCAAGTGGAATTATATATATTCACCAAAATAGACATCAGTATTTTAAGAGCTAATGGCTCCACATTTCTTTGTTGTCATATGACAGGCTTGCTTTATGTAATAGCTAAAAATGATAAATTTCTGATGTTTAAGATCCACAAGATATGAACATGGTTTGCACACATGATTTTGTTACATACACATTAAACTTGGCTTTTAATTAAATGAGGACTCAGTTCATACCCAGTAAATAATTATAAAGCTTGACATTTTTTTGTCATTTACATTTTATAACTGTAATGAAAAATTTATCTCAGCAAACACATTTCAAATAGCCGGTAAAAGACCAACATGTGACTCGCGAGGTGTTGTGTGGCCACCCCTTTCGTATACTAAGCTAAATTTAATTTTTCATCAACGGCGCAAATATAGACTGCGATGTGTAAGTTGTCGTCTAACTGACGCAAAAATAAACATACAACGTACATCTCATTTTGTCTGGTATATTTCCCCAAATTACACAAATATATCTTGAAATACTAAAGAGTAAATTTATTCAATGTAATCACAATTGGCTTCAACCATGGAATGTATACGTCTTCGGAATCTCCTGCAATTCTTTTGGACCTTCTCTTTATTAATATTTGCCTCCAGTTAATCGGTTGGTCTTTCGATCTACTGCGGGGTGGCAGGCTGGGAAGTTAGGTGGCCTGATTTAAATCGTGATGTGGTCGTTCAAATTGTTTGACAGTCATGATTACTATCTCAAACTTGTGTGGCAATGTGCAGTGTCCTGTTGCCAGTCACAGTGTCTTATAGCCGCAACATTCTTCACCCAAGACAACACTACACCCTCAAGGCACTTGATGCAGTTTTCGGTGTTGAATCTGTGTCCCTCAACAACATATTCAGAGGTTCATTTCTTATCAGAAGGATCAGAGTGAGTTTTCCGTGCTTTCGTATCTTCATAATCAGCATTAAGTTCATCTTACTCTTTCCGAATCCTATGCACTGTCCACAGATTGACACCCAAGTTACCTGAAACTTACGTATTAGAGGTTCCAACACGAATGCCAAGCAGTATAACGTGCAGTTACCAAAGTTCTGGCTGATTGAATTGCATAATGGCGCTGTTTTTTTTTTCTCACAGATGGTTCTCAACTGACCCTAATATACTTTTCAGCAGACAAAATCAAAAACTAATAACACGCATGCCGGAAATTAAAAACATAAAATGGCGAAAAATTACCCATCACACCCTATATGTAACACTCTATGAGAGTCAAAATTAGATTCAATATTAATGGGCAACTCGGCATTTAACTGTTATTCTGAGACGAATTGCTCTGCCTAATGTTCATTGGTGATATAACAATATAATATAAATATTTTTATTTCTGTTGAATTCCATTAAAAGTGACAGTGTAAAATCCAGCATTTCTTAGTGGCTTCTGAAATTTGTTGAGTTGAATATTTGTTTTAAATTAAACTTTATCTGTTACCAATCCATCGACTATCTTTCTCTAGTATTCAGCTTTTTAAATAATGGATTTATCATGAATATTCTTCTATGGTATAAACATATATCGACGAATATTTTGCTTCATAAAACTTTTGTTTTTTTGTTTGTTTTCTTTTTATTTTATTTTTGACACTATATTGCCTAAGCGATTTTTCTGTAGATAGCAATAAAACAATATTGGAGTTGACTTAATGCTTAAATTCTACCAAGTCCAGTGAAACAAAACTGTTTCTGTGTATCCTGTTTCCACTAATACTTCCCTTTGGACATATACATGAAGAATATCTTAACTGAACGGATGAATACCAATTAACATAAAAAGTGCACCTGTTTTTAACATTGAATAACATTAACAAAAAACACACGGTATATTTATATGGCTATTTCTTTCACCTTGATAATAATTTCCGATAGCCACCAATACATATGTAATTAAAATCCACCAAAAATACGTACATGGAATCATACTTATTATAAAACCCAGGTTGTGTGTGTGTGTGTGTGTGTGTGTTCATATATTGGATCGGATTTCCTTCATTTTTCAACCGATTTCAACAAAACTTCACAGGACTACGTAAAATTACATTGCGGTGGTTCTGACTTTTGCATGAAATCAATTTGAAAACATGATTAAGTCGCCAGAATGAAAGGGGGGCAACTCATATCGTGTTATACTTATAAAACCCAGGTAGTTTGTATGTCTGTGTTCGTTTATATAAGGGATAGGATTTCCTTCATTTTTCAACCGATTTCAACAAAACTTTTTTTTTTTTTTTTTTTGGTAGATAATGTTTCTTATTGTCTTGCACACTTTTTTCATTATTTTTACATTCAGAATGCTTTAAAAATCCCATTTACAAGACAATTGTTTATAATAAAATACTATTCAATCGGTAGACTCATAACGATTGAAAAAAATGTTTTTCTTTGAGTTTGGGTTTGACCAATTCGTAAAAAAAAAAAAAATTAAAATTAAGACATGCGTGTCCGTCAACCTTAAACAATAATCTTTGGCAATTTTATTTTTCAGTTTTTATGATGGGCGATACTTGATCTATCTCTTACTGTTACATCCCCGGGCAAGTCCGGGCTCTACTGCCAGTAGTTAATAAAACGATATATTGGTAAAATTGTTAAATTTAATGGCTCGAAACATTAAAATAGAGTTTAAATTAAACAAAATCATTCTTTGTGAAGAAATTATTTGTTAGATTCATACACATAGCATCGATTTCAATTCCTGTAAAAATTGGGCTCCAGCTCCTACTGAGGGCATCACAATTTATTGTTAGATCCAGATTGGCTTTTTGCCCTTCAAGGCGACAATATCTTTATTGAACAAGAATATTGAGATGAAAAATGGAACAATAATTTTGATGTGATTTAATGCCAGAAATGAAATTGCAACATCATAATTATTCTAGAAAATATTAATTACTGTCGTTCGGTAAGTTTACATCTCATGTCTATTAAATTATGTTCCAAATAAGATATCCATTCCGATTTCTTTCCATTTCGCTGATAGAAACTTCCACGAAGATGACGAGACACATTTCAAGGGGCGAAAACGGAAAATGCATCTAACAAAAAGAAAAAGAAAAGAAAATTTATGTAAAAAAAAACAGCAAATGTTACGCATGTGAAAGTAATGTGAATCCTATCAACATGAACGTTTATAAATTTCATTTGCAAATTATGGGACGGAAGCTGGCATGCAAAAATTCAAACCGTTGACTTCATTGCCTTGTAAAATACCTTGTGATCCAATGCATAATTCAAAAGAGCTAAATTGCCGCATTAACTACTAACATCCCAATTCACAATGTGGAAACATATCAGATATCCACCTCTCACCGAGAGAAATAGCTTATGACCATTCAGGTTGAAACACCAGCTCCCCTACGATTAGTGAAGTTAAGCATCGTCGAGCATCGTCAGTACGTAGATGGCTGAGCGCTTGGGAATATCAAGTGATGTAGGTTTGAACATTCGGGTGGTGTAATGTATAATGACACGGATTTTTTTTCGTAGAGGCAGTTTCCAATTCTCTACGTGTCCTTTCTATTGACTTATATGTAAATAAACGTGGGAAAGGTATGAAAACACCCCGAGTTATGGTTTAATTATTAAGACGTTTAACACTATACCATTATTATATCTAAAATGATTTTTACAGTCCGAAAATGTAAAATAAAGCAAAGGGTTGATAAGGTGTAGAAAATGGATCAATCTATCAGAGGAAATTTTCACGCAGATGATTCTATTAAAGCTGAAATATTAAAGCCTCTCCTTGACCTAGGCGCACTTGCTATCATTCTGTATTCTTTTCCTGTTTATCATTTATTTCCAGTAATTCACTTCTAAAATAAACATTTATTTTTAAGAAATGAAATCTGAGAGCGAAACCTTTCCAAATGAAGATATTAAATTAATAATCCGAGCATCTGATATTTGTTTCTCTACCTTCACTTTTCAAGTACATTTTTAATCTGGGTTTTCAATAGTGAATAGAAGAGAAATATGACAGAAAAACGAATATGCATTGGTACGGTTAATGATTTTAATTAGCCGTAACTTATGTTAACTTACTAGTATTAAAACCATTTTTCCTGTGAGGGAAAGTTTCGAATTTTAACAAAAAATAACTTATGAAATATAATGAAGATCTAATTACTTATATTGAATGCAATATCCAATTTCTAAACGTTTTATCTTTCTTATTTTCTAACCTGAACGCTTCATTTCATACCTTGCCTTGACCACTGAATCAGCCACTGTTTTTGAGCAGTAAAATTAACTTTTACTGTGCTCCGATCTATTTAAATCTTCTTTGGCTGTGTCCATTTCTAAGGTTGTTGATTAAGTCTCTCCGAAATGTCATGTCCATTGCAGCGTTTAATATGTTTGTCTTTTTCAACGCCCCCAATCACTGACTTTCCATCCATCCACAAGCTCATTGGTTAACTCTTGCGCTGTTTTCGTCTGTCTTCCTTGTCTTCGAAATATTCTGTAAGTATCAACTTTTCCATGCCCACCGTACTCCTTATTTGTCTGTGGTAAGACAACCAGATTGCATCCCTGTTTTAGGATTTGTATAAATAATTCACACCGTCTTAGCCAAAATTGTAAGTCTCCATTTACATTCAATAAAGGCACATTAAGCCGAACTAGACACAGAGTTTTCATTACAATAAATTGAACCTAATTACGGACACATGCCTTAGACCAGAACGTCTGGACATGGAATCTGCAAAATCGTCGTCTACTGACCCCTGGCAATATTGGGAATGATTATTAGAATGATTCTTACTTGCACTGGAAATCAGTTCTTCTACTCGTATTACCACTACGGATATACATCACTTGCTAATGCCCCATATATCCATATCTGTATATACCAGTATTTCTCACTGCAAAACTTACCAGTGTGTCATTGATGTTTTGGATGAAATTTGTGTGAAGAGACATAATCCTTGCCCAGCATCTATTAGCAACTACCCGCCATTCCCCTGAAGAGAAGAGAATCTTCAGCGCTTAAAAATTTTAAGTCGAGACTGTTACTTTCAAGTTACTACAGCAGATCAAGGAAAGGGCGAATTTATCAGAGACTCTTTTTTAAATGAACTAGAAGCCAAATACATGCGTCAGATATTGCTAGAAAATAAACAACTAGATTTACCTATTCTTCGCGTGCAGGCGCTTACCTTGGAGACGCAGAAAAGTAAACTATCTATATCTAAAAACAAGTGTTGTAGAGACTTCACTAAGTACTCCTACTCCTACTAGTCAATCAGTTCAAATGCCAGCACAGGAGAAAAAGATAGACCTCTATGTCAAACATCTTTGCCACACTTCTCCAGTTCATACACTTCTCTCTCCGGAAACACTACACACACATTTAGTGATGCAGCCAGAGGAAAATATTTTTATGGTCCCAAACTACACTCCCAGTCGTGTTGCCCACCCAAAGAAAATAATGCCACAAGAGCTGGAAGAAGGGTCGTTTCTCAAAGTTTTATCGATCAAGATTTTTTCACCGAGTTCGAATGATGCTATTTCAAATATTAGTGTTTCCTCTCCAAACCCTAGGATAAATTCTAAGGCTATATTAATGGTAAAACTAAACGGTGTAGAGATGAATGCTCTAGTGCAGACAGGAGTCTCAGAGAGATTTATTAGCGCTGTTATTGCAAAAAAAAAAAAAACAATTAAAATCGGACTTTGTAATAGGCGATTATGGCGAAGCTCCACTATCTTCGCAGTTTAGATGATACTTATTATGAGGACTAAATTTGAATCAAACTAACTACACAAACACCAAGTTTTTCCTGGTGCCACATCTGTACTGTGATATATTGCGCCACGATTTCCTCAAACAACATTCTAGTATTCATCTCTCTTTTGCAGGCCCTATTTCGGCGTTGAACATCTGTAATTTGGCCGATATAAATGTACAGTTCTCCTCACTTTTCGAAAACTTAACCAAAAACTGTAAACCAGTGCGCACCAATTCTCGAACCATTGGTATGTTCGCCCATTATTCTCATGAGATCTTTTCTGAAAAAATACACCGACTTCAGACAATTATCTAATTCCATTTACATTCTTCTACCGTTAAATCCTTTGAGAGGTCAAAAAGAGTTATTGCCAACCCAGCCATCACTCAGGTGAATCCTGACATTACCCTAGATGTAGAGACCAACGCATCCAACCATGACGTGACTTCCGCGTTTAGACAATGGGATGCCCTGTAGCATTCTTCTCCTGAATATTGTCAAAATCTAGGTGCAGAAATCCAACCGTCGAAAAGGAGGGTTATGCCATAGTCGTGGCGTTAAGAAAACAGCGACATTGCTCAATTGGTCACTACTTTGTTAATCATTAAACGTAAGTCAGTTTCTTTTAGGTTTAATCAGAAGATGTCAAGCAAAATAACAAAAAATAGATATCGAGTTGGAGGTTAATGTTTTCGTGTTATTCATTTGAAGTTTTCTATCGGTTGAGAAAGGAAAATGAAATGGCGGACGCGATTTCAATAGTATGTGGATCCATAAACAGCATCAATAATCTACAAAACTATCATAATGAACTCTGTCATCTAGGCATAATGAGGAAGATGCAAGTTGTTCCAAGACGGGAGTTGCCTTTTTCAGTTGAGGACGTGAAACGAATAAAACAGATTTTCGCTCGAATAAAATCAAGGTTCTACAAACCCAACCCACGAACCCTAATAAAATCTAAACACCCTTTTGAGACACTGAGTGTGGACATGAAGAGCCAACTTCCATCTAAATCCCAATAGAATTATCTAATGACAATCGTTGGGGAGTAATCGCGATTTTCGTTTCCCTGTCCAGATTTAAGTGAAAAATCGCCCATACGCTGCGATTACTCACTGTTCCACATATTCGGAGCTCCAGCTGATATTTGTAGATTGCGGGACCTCTTTTACGTCCGATCAACTAAGAAAATTCGTATTTGTACAGGGAGTGGACGTAAGCCGGACAACCCGATACAATCCCCCAGTGAAGAGGTGAGAGGTACAATCGAATAATATGGAAGACTATAGATTTGGCACTCAAAAAGCAAAACGTTCAAATTAAGGATAAGGCGTAATAACTGAGACTCTGTACGATATAGCAACTAATACAACATTTCACGGAAGGTTTTTTAAAATTTCCAAGGCAATGTTTGACTGGGATCTCCCTCCATTCTTAACTTTCACAGTCAGGTATTGTTATAATGAAAAATCATGTTCGACAAATCAAGTATGGTTCTCATGTGAATATGTTGGAACGGCTCGAGATGAATCCACTCTATGCGCGCATCCAGCATCCCGAAGGGAGACAATCGAACATTTCCCTCAAGAGTGTTATCAAAACAGAGGGAATAGCATCTCTACTCTGAAGCAATATCTCTCCCTCTTGATAGCAACGACGACAAAATGTCATTGGATACTCGTGAGAAACAAGTGACCGATAGTGACAATTCCGAGTTTGAGAGAACAGAAAAACTTCTTCAAAACGAGAGAATAATTCCACTCTTTCAGAGCAAAAAAATTATGAGAAGAAATAATTATGGCTTACTGTTCCCGAAAACCTGAAAAGCCAGATCATCTGACATCAAGACAATCCCAGAGAATTTTTAAAAGAGCCAATTATTTGGATGATTATACGTCGGACCAGGAAAAAAACACGGGGAGAAAATGCTAAGACAACACGATTACATTTTCTGTCTCATGATTTACATAAATAAGTCACATCGTCTTAGATAAACGTAAAAAATCTTCAGTTGTGTTCAGTAAAGGCGCATAAATTCGATCTAGAATACGAGTTTTTTTTTATTACAGTGTCCTAGAAAGTTTTATTGATATTTCTGATATTAATTCAAAATATCCGCCTTGCTTCCATTTATTAAAATACTTCGTCGTTGATCAAATCCTTCTGCATTTTACATGATTCACATCTCTTCTTTATGCATCATCCTACTTATATGTAGGAGAAATGATACATCATAACAATTCAATATTCTTTTTTTTCTTACGAGATTTTTCGGATTCCTAATACGTTGCGTAACTCTTGGAAACCGTTTTAATCTATCCCAATGAATTTTCGGATTTTGGTAACGTTCATTTCCTCCTCTGTTAAAACACTTCCTATATATATATATATATATATATATATATATATATATATATATATATATGAATATATATATAAACTGTCTTAGTTGTTTGATTTTGTATCTCTAATTTCTAATTTGCATATTTGGCGTTACGTTTATATAACACCTATGCATTCCGCCTACTTGTAATTAATATTAATCCTTTATAATGCATTTAATTTAGTATGTTTTGTGTAATCTGTATGAATTAATTTATTTGATGATAAGTAATTTCCCCCATCGAATTTACCTAAAATTATAGTTTTATAGTATTAAGATATATACGTTACTGGTAGTTTGTGGATTTTCGGTAAAA